CAGCGTATACTCTAGTTTGACAGCTGTCAATTAACCTTAATTAGATTGGCGAATATTCGAATTAACAGACTACGAGTGTGAGTAAGGCATATCCGTCCGGCTTGTAGTAGAAAATGCCAGATCGTGTACCTCAGCAAACCTGAGCCCACGTTATTAGTTTTCTGATACTGGTCTGCACATGTCCTGTTTTGACAGCTGTCAATTGACCTTTATTTGGCTTCCCAATATAACTTTAAACGACTGTCAGCCAACTGACAGCCTTGCCCGGCTAGTTTCATTTTTATGTTGAATTGGCAAGTGTGACATATTATAACAGCTTATATGTAGGGGCAAAACGACTGGTCTTTCATCTGAGCCCGCGACATAGTCATGTGATAATTGTCAGCGGATGTCTGATTTTGACAGCTGTCAATCTAATCGTACTCATACGGATGGCTTACATAACTGAAAGGTTAGTCAAGTTGTGCAAGATCTATTGTGACATTTGACATCGGCTTAAATGAAGTGTGTGTACGAGTGGGCGTACGCTACGTCATAACCAAATTTTCTGGGATGGATAGTTTACCAAATTTTCTTACCCATGGTGCTCCGCTGCGCGCGGGCTTCGCGCGCGCGGGAGCTCCGCTATTATACTATTTGTTCTGGTGATATAAGAATACATTAATTTTTTCCCAGTTCACAGAATAGTCTGTCACTCAGGTGAAGGAATGGGCTTTCAAAATGTTCGGGAACGAAAATATCGCATACAACTTTGAGAAGGAGGAGACTGATGGAAAGATTTTGCTGTCTACAGCTGTACAGAGTATTCAAGAGATGGAACAGTTAGGATTAACCACAACTGGTAAAAAACGGAAATTCTTGCAAACATTAAAGGAACTTACAGGCAAGCCTATTTATTTAGTAGAGTATTAGCCACCAGGACTTGACCTTTCAGACGTTACTGCTTCTTTCTGTTCAAAGGGAATAACTTTCTGTTTGCACTACATCTGTCAGTAATTAAGTTTTTCACGCACTTCTTGTCACATGGCTTTTGGCGCTCAAATGTATTATTCCTGAGTCATGTTAAATACATTTCCTTGAATTTGCCAATGGGCTTCAAACTGTAACTGAATTTCGTGTCTGTATAGCTGGCGTTGTTGATGTCCCGGCTAACACGTTTCTCTCTTTTTTTTTCTAGCCAATCAAAGCGCCTCTGTAGATGTATGTGCCCCATCTGTGGGGAAAAAAGGAAAACTAACACCACCAGATATCAGATGTCTGGATCCAGCATCAAAGTCAATTTACCTTACAGTGTAAGCATAATGTAACTATAACTTGTATACTCTGATAGAAAAATATTTTGCACAGCATGAAACATGAAGGTGGGTTTGGTGAGTTTTATTTTATTTTTTAAATAACGGTCTTCAGTTTTTAGTGTTGAGTCATCGGTCAAGTCAGACCTTTAGATGTCTGGTGACTAGTACATAATTCTTAATTCTTTTAAACATTATTTACCTTCTTGCTCTTTCCATGGTATTTTGACACTGCTAATTATCATTCTATACTGTACTCCATTCCACAAGAATAATAATGTTACTGCTGCATTTACAAGCTACACTTTGATAGTTTATCATTTATTAATATTATTGTTATTAGATGATCACGCATCCGTGGGGCTAGAGAAAATGGGTTTCCTGGTAACAGCATCCCTACATTTAGAAGCAACCCAGAAGCAAAGAAAAGACTGGACATGTTAGTGAAGCAACTGGCAAAATCATGCTCAATTGAAGAACTTAACTTCGGAGACGGTAAACTGTTTTCACTTCTAAACGTTATTGACTTATGACATAAAATGTACTGAGTGTAATGACATTTATATCGGACAAACATCAAGAACCGTGTATACTAGAGACAAAGAACACAAAGTCACTGGCCAAAAAGGAAGAGAAGTCAGCCTTACGGAAGCACTGTAAAGAAAAACACAAAAATGAAATGCAGAAATTTGAAATGAATGTTACCGGTTCTTACTCCAACAATGCCATGTTGAGGCAGATATCGGAGGGTGTTCGGATCGATCAAGTACCGGAAGGCTCGTTGATGAACTCTACGAACAAACGGAATTATTTCCGCGTTCCACGCACTGTAGTCGCACGTGACCACATGAAATAGAATACACCATGTTGGCTTACATGACACTGGTGAACACGAAGACTATTTTAGTGCATCTTACATGAAAATTTTATTGACTGACAAGGCTCGCAGAACGAAATATATTTCAAGGATTTTAAACATTCTAGAACATTTTTATTTTTTGCATTTTGCATTTCTTATACGTGCATCGAATGTGGTAAAGACGTGATGTCTTATTTTGCAAGTAGTTCAACTTGCTCACTCTTTGCTTGGCAAAATGAGCCATTATTGACTTGGTGCGATAATGGTTTTATGATGAGGCGGGGCATTATCTTATCTTTCACTGCAAGCTCCAGAGGTGGATAGTCAAGATAACAATAGCTGCTACGCACCACACACAGAGTGAGCTATAAATTCGTGAGCTTCGCTATCGCTCGCCCCTTTTTCTGCCAACGCCGATCGTGAGCTGTTTAGCTTTTCAATAGTGAACTTATTTCTTTCTCCGAGGGAACAAGCTAACAAACAATCAGGCAAGTGCAATTTTTCCCCCATCCCTGATTGTTTTTTGTAGTCAGGTAGCTTTTCATTTTGTGTATTTTTTTTCCATTCTTGTTGGGGTGCCCTAGGTGAGGTGTTTGTTTTTCTTTAGCGCTCGCTAATTTTCCTAAAATTTTCTTTAACCTCATGGCTAAACAGCGCGTATTAATAATAGGGCACTCCTTTGTTCATTGACTTAAGGCGTTTGTGCAGAAAAAGAGGCACATGCAGGCTTCTAGCAGCCTTAGTGGTATAGCAGATATTTATTTTCATGGAGTTGGTGGCCGCACGATACCAAAATTTCGTAAATTCGACTTCAATGTGGTGCGCCAACTGGTCCCAGATGTGATTATTGTGGAGCTTGGCTCCAACGATCTGGTGGAGCTCTCACCGCAGACAGTGGGTTCAGAACTGGAAAGTTTAGTTCAGGAACTGTACAAGATTGACTCTGTTCAATTTGTTGTCATAGGGCAAGTTCTCTGTAGGCATACACCGAACTCAGTTGGGTACAATTGTAAAGTGGGCAAGCTTCACCAATAATTTAAGGTTGTCCTAGAGCCGTTGCCTTTTTGTTATTACTGGCGGCATAGAGGTTTCTGGAAATCCAAAAGCGAACTCTACTTAACCGATGGAGTACATCTTAACAATTTAGGCAACTGTAAATTTATGCGCAGCATTTGCAAGGCGGTTTTGCAGGCCTTAAAGTTAGTGGGTGCATCAACAGTTTACTCAATGCTGTGCCCTGTAGTGGCCAGTTCGATATTTAAATGGCGATGTTATAATACATTTATGAGATGCTGTGTCACATGTACATTTACAACTTTGCAGGCTATATCATATGTCATCATACATTTTAAATGCTTTATTGTGGCATGTTTTGTACTTGACATTTATGACTATTTTGGTGTGTTACTCACCTGGTGGCTACTGTTTACTACATTAGTGTGCCCCACTCACTCAAGCCATTATAGGACAAATGTCCTTTTTACAATGTCTCGGATTATTTTTTTGTCATTATGTTGCCTGCTCTTGATTTGCCCTTGACATTCTTTGGCTTCCGTTTTTTACTTGGAGTCTAGTTGGAGCGGTATAGCCCAACTCTCTTACGCCATTGTGGAATGACTCAGATATCTTTTTTGTCTCTTAAACGTGTTTCCGTTACAATTTACAATTGGCATGGGCACAATGAAAGCCCGCCAAAAACCAAGGAACACACCCACTAAGTTTGAGGGTATTACAATACTTTTAATTTTTGTTGGAGTAACATAGTGTACATTTTTCATAAGAATGCCTCCTAAACGAGCCTCAAAGCGCCAGGCAGCAAAAAGACCAGCCCCTGCAGTTGATCCAAAACAACGCCGGCCAGAAAGTTGCCCTATTTCCAGGGCCCTGCCGGAGAGCTCAGCACAGCCACTGGAGTCCTCCTCGCAGTTATGCCCCACCGAGCTTGGGGCAATAATTTCACAAGCTATCTCCGGCGCGTTGCAGTCAGTCGGCATCGTCCAAACAAACCTTGCTCCCGCCGAAAGGGACCCAGGAACGAACACCCAGTCCATGCCCCAGTCCACCGTGGTCGAGGACACCGCATCAAAGGAAATCGAGGCATTGACGAACACTCTGGCTGCTGGTAGGCTAACTTTTCCAACCAAGAAACCAGAAGAAACGTTTTCAAGTGTCACTTTCGACCTCGAATCTCGGATTTTAGATCGTGTCAAGGCGAAGATTTGGGTGAACGAATATGTAGATTTTGGGTCACTCCTCACAGTGTCCCGGACGAGTCAAAATATCGTATATCTGTCACGGATGATCATGATCACCCTAGTCTTTGCCTTGAGCAGGTCAAAGCAAAGTGGCGTAGCTTAACTATTGACCAATGGCTGACCGCGTTTAATGTATTCGTAGCTGTTTATACAATTAAGACTCCTAGTGCAATAAACTCCTTAATGAAGTATTGTGAGGTGGTTCAGGACATCGCAGCAAAGCAAGGTAATTGGCGTTATTATGACAAACAATTCCGATTTCTTCGTCAATCAAAACTGGACAGATACCCTTGAGACAACATAGCTTGGGAATTGCGGCATCAGGCCTTACATAGTTCCCTTACCACCTCTCTGCCAAACTCTAACAATGATTTTCGAACCCGTCGGCCCAACCAGTGTCCCTCTCAGTCTTTTCCCAAGGAAGTGTGTTGGCGGTTTCAAGCCGGACAATTCCACCCAGCGACCCAATGTACCGCTACCAGATCTAACACAAACAACGAGCATCAGTTGAGTCGCGGGCGAACCCGGTAAACCCCGTCCAACTCGCATTTTACCTTAGGGGTTATATTAACTCCATTTCCGACTATCTTATACAAGGCTTTGTTCACGGTTTCCCAATACGATATTTAGGTTCTTTAATTGCAATGCGATCCCAAAATCTTAAAAGTGCCAAGGACAATCCAACTAGCGTGACTGAAAAGTTGTCTAAGGAGTGCACAGGAGGCAGAATTGTAGGTCCATTCGACGTACCACCTTTCGACCCCTTTAGGGTACCCCCCCTGGGCATTATTCCCAAAATGTTAATTCACCATCTCTCCTACCCGGCGGGCTCATCAGTTAATGATGGTATCCCTAAAGAGCTAGCCACTGTGAGATATGCAACCACTGATGATGCCATTCGTCTTGTTAAATCGTTAGGGAAGGGCTGTTTTCTGGCAAAAACAGACATTAAATCAGCATTCCGAATTATTTTTGTATCCCCCAATGATTTTCCGTTGCTCGAGTTGTTTTATCAGAGTCAGTGCGATGCAGTGGCTCGATATCGCAACGATATAAGGGACAACATCTTCAATCTCGATCAGGAAGCTCTTCCCCGTTCCATGTGGCTGTGGTATTACGAGACGACTGCCAATTTCGAAGCAGGTTTCGCCAACGCTCTTCAGAAGATAGAAAAGACCTTCTGAGCCAATCTACACTTCACTTAAGCCAGTAACGACAAACATTACCTGCGCATCTTCTATGTGGCTAAAGATAAACTGATAATGATGGATGCAACACACAATGGTTGGGGAACTGTACAAGAGATGCAATTAACTCTCACCCAACCCAACTACATCACTCTGATGAGGCATGCACAGCAGCTTTAAAAGGAAGAAGAAACATGCATTTTACTCAGCAATTGGAAAAAGTCGGAAAAAGAGATAACCATATATCCAAACATTTTTAGGAGTGTTTGCAGCAGATAAGATACCTCTAGGTAAAATAGGATGTTGTATCGTCAATACAGATCCCATAAGCAAGAGCGGTCAACATTGGGTGTGTGTTTTATGCCAGGAAGTGGAAAAAAGAATTTTTATTTCAATTCTTATGGTCTGCCTCCCACCCATTGGAACTCACATTGGGCTCCTTTCATGAGTTACATCCGTAGTAATGGCGATTTTCTCAAAAAATTGTGTTCTATGCCCACACCCGACTTACGAGAAGTGGTAAAGTAGTTCGATGATGATGATAAGAAAGGAAACGATGTTCTAGTCTTTGATTTGATTCACAAGGAATTTCCTGGGATTTTGAATGATACAGATCATGAGTTAAATGTAAATTACGATAATTTTGAGAAAAACATCAAATCTCGTCAACAGGGTAGTAAGCCTAGAAGAGTGTTACAGTTGTTACATTGAAATAAAAAGACTCATTTGGAAAACACCCAGTTGCTTTTGTCTGTCTCATTGTTTGTCCCGTCTATCACCATGTCTCTTTCCACAGTGACAGAACGAGCAAAATTCGTCCAACCTTTCACGATGGCCTTGTATGGAAGCACAAACACGAGAAACACCAATTTCGTGTTAAATTTGTTAAAAAATTTGGCGCTATTGGTGGATAAAAAAATAAGGATGATCACATACTGTTATGGTTCGACTTGGCAAAGTCCCATATTCGACGAAAAGGAAAGTATGGGAGTATTGATAAACAAGGGTCTTCCGGAAAAGATAGAGATCTGTTACAAGATAAACCCACTCCTGCAATTATGATATTTGACAATCTCGAAACGGACATAGAAAAAAGTTCCATGATGGCGGATTGTGTGAAAAAGAACAGCCACCACATGGACGTTTCCATCATCATATTGTATCAATCCCTATTTCCTCTGGGAAAAAGAGCAAGACAAATCAGACAGAATATAAACGTGATGGTATTTTTCAAATTTTCCATGGAAATAAGATCTTTGAAATTACGATTCAGTAGTTTCGTTCCAACAGACAGGATGATAGATTTCGTGAACCACATCTACATGCCGTGGGTTTCAAAAGAAGAAGGATTTGTGGTGGTGGACAAACACCCAAAACAGAAAAAAGAAATAGAGCACCAATGTATTCGCACAAACATATTTCCCAACAAAGGGTAGAAATATTGGTTTTGCGAGTTAGTGGGAATTAAACCACCTCCTCCCGCCATGTCGCGAAAATTTGATCGAAAGAGTGGACCAGATACTTCTCATAATCAGAAAAGGTTTTACAGACCCATAAAGGATCCACGACTGAGGAGCCTATATAACGGATATGTAGACGACATTTATATGCAACACTGGAAAGAACCCCACCCAGAGAGAACACATTCACACGAAAATACCTGTCAACAATTTCGAATGGATGCATCTGAGACATGTCCACAGACACGGAAAAAGATAGGTTTTACGAAAATTACGCACAAATTAGACAATTTGTCATCGATGGAACACTCTTGGATGGAGATGCACTATTAGGTCTCCGCGATCTCTTTTACAACTACAAAACTTTAAAGGTGGTGAAGACGACCATAGACAAAGAAAAGTGTATAGAACTTTTGGCGAACAAACAGGCAAACTTAGAAGTGAAGAAACAAGCCCTAAAACAGTGTAAACAAAAAGCAAAAGAATTGGCAAAGTGTCTCATTTTTCTGCATCTGCTAGACGACGCAAGCGATGATGAGTTATAAAGAAAGATTGGACAAGATAGATCTGTACAACAGTAACGAAATCAAGGAGTACATTTACTTGGACAGAAACGATTTGGATTGTTCGAAAAGTTCGATCAAGATGCAACAGAGTGGTAAAGGGATGAGTCATGCCGACACCAAATATGCAAATGCTGGATCTCGAAAAGTCACTCAAGGAATAACGTGAGTGGACATGGAAGATGAAGAAAACGCAACCATAAGGGCTGCTCACAAGAAATACAGAGGGTTGGGAAAAGAAAACTTATTAAAAGCAATCCACCATCTCAGAACTCTAAACGTCTATTTCAAAAACCTTTGAAAGGGAAGAAACAATCCCGAAAAACTGAAACAACCGGACAAAGTGCAACAGATACCAGCTTTAACAAAAACATACGGAAAAGAGATTCTGGGTCTGGGAATAAGTGTCACAGATGCCGCCAACATCTTTCCAGGTATGCAGAGAATAGTGGATGCTGCCAACCCCCTAATACGAGGGGGAGGAGCGATTCGTGTACATCAATCTCTACTGAGTAGTGGTAGCAGTCCTAGAATTCTTAGTACTGGTTATGACAGTGTACTTTCGCAAGCACTAAGTGAAAGATCTCTTGAATCTATGGGACTGTATAGCGTTTCGTTGTGGACAGAAATAAACCTAAAAAAAAGAAGTGACTTACCTGGAGAAATAAATAGTGATATTAAAAACATGTGCTCGAATAAGCAAAATGCTACTTTAAAACAAAAAATAATGATCCAGGATAATAAAAAAATGTGGTTTTAGATTTAAAAATAAAAAAATAAACCTAAAAAAATAAACCTAAAAAAAACGATGACTGACTTGGAGAAATAAACGGTGAGATTAAAAGTGTGTGGTCGAGCAAATGAAATTTTGCTCCAAAAAAATAATGGTCCACGATAATAAAAAAATTGTGGTCTTAGGTTTAAAAATTGATGGAAAAATATGGCCAATACAAAAGAGCAGTGAAGCGGAAAAATTAACATCGAAAAAAAAAACTAGTCGAGAGGAAGCGGAAACTGATTAGCGCTTCAACCGGATGTAATAGGGCATATTCTTATATGGCACCACAGGAAGTGCTACTCTTAGAATACGGGAATGTGAGAATTTCACCGAGCGGGAACTTCTATGTGAGAATTTCCACAAGCTGCAAACAATGGCTGGCAACGTGCAGCCTGCTAGTTCTGTACAAGAAATCGTCAACGCGGTCATCAACAACTTGAGCAACTTGCCGCGACAAGAAAATGCAGTTCAAACCGCAGCATCAAATGCTGACACTAGAAACAAGGTATCAGTGACTTCTGAACTGAACCGGGCCTTCCGAATACCACGTGCATCCACAAGCGCCACTGTGCAAGCGATTTTGCCGTCGACAGTGGCATCTATCAGGGCTGCTGCGAATAACTTTTCAGCGACTTCAAATTACGGAAGGACCGTAAGAGATTCAGGAAGACGAGGGAGATCACGGTCCTACAATGGGCGATTTCAGCCATACCGCCCTCAGAGAAACCAAAGATTAACACGGGATGCGGCTGAACCAAGTGTGTTTTACAAAGACATCTGTCTTCTCGATTGTCCTGAATGGGAGAAGGTTCCGCGTGGGGAAGTAAAGGCAGATTTGATCCGAAAAAACCTCTACATAGATGCGTGGCCAATGGTTAAAGATTCGAGTGCGGCAACTTTGAGGCAGGAGATAGAGAATCTTTTTGAATGTGTTCTAAAAAACTCAAGTGGTAATAGTGTGAGGTGAGCATTAAGACTTAAATAATAATACATGTAATAATAATAATAATAAAAATAAAATGTGTGTATTTTTTATAATAATAATAACAATAAGAATAATAATCATAATAATAAAGATTTAAAATAAATGGTGAAGAAATATTTTGCTGCAAACAGAGTGCTTTTTTTAAAAAACTGAGGTATTCTAGTGATGTTCCAATGGAAATATCAAATACCACAATCAGATAGTCTGTGTGTACAATAAATGCTTGTTGAAATAATAGGTAATATTCATTGTTGTTTTAAAATGCCCAGTTAGATGTACTAGTGCGAGACGGCAGAGTATTATTTTGAATTTAACACCACACCCATCCTATCGCCATTAATTTCTCTAACAAATACCACTGGTAAACAAGGGTGTTTGTTGGGAATATGTTTATTTTTACATGTAAGTGGATTGTAACCTTGAATTTTTGTTATATTTAGCTTTGAGTTTGTGAAGAGCATTGGTTCAAATATTTTACCCATAAAACTACAGGAAGGCCAAGAGCTTAATGCCAAAGCACTAAAGCATATTTCAGGAACAAGTCCAATCTATGTCAGAGTATTGGAGGAAATCAAAGGCAGAGAGGAAGTAAGCATGGCAACAATGTTAAAGTGCCACTGCGACGAAAATCGTATCTCTTTAAACTAACATTTTTGGGCTCGAAGTTAGTGTTTAGACTTAAAACTTCAAGAAAAAATGTGATTCAGACCAACCTAACGAAGAAGGTTCCTTAAAAAGGCTGTCCGAAAGTGCGTAAAATTGGTCCGCCATTACAAAAACAACAACTATTCGAGCCGACGAATTGAGTTCAGCGGCTTTGCTCTTGTGACGTCACGTTATCCCCAAAATATTCTGACATCGCTACAAAGCCGACCAAAAGCTATACTAGCTAGTTGTTATGTTGTCTGCCTCGTCTTCTTCTTCCATTTCTTCGGAAGACCGATCCGGTTCAAGTTCTGACGAAAACAGCGAAATTTTAGACGACGATGGAACAGCTTTCGTCCCGTATGATGAGGAACTGGAGCCAGTCGCGACCGAGGAAGAGGCTGCTGCATACACGCTAAGTGTGGCTAATGAGGAAGAATGGGAGCTCGTGCTTCAAAGGCGCTTTACTGGCGAATTAGAAGTCGGCACATGGTAGGCACGACTCAGATTGTATTTCTAAGCAGTTCTTTTTCATTTTAAATCTTTTGTGTTATGGTGGAATTCGCCCATAAATTCGAATTTGTTTCATAATTTCGATTGCGTGTTTCTAATACTGAACGGAGAACGCGTTATTTTTGTTTTGTAGGTGCACTTGTTGGAACTGTTCGGTCGACATAGCCACCAAGAAGGAAGAATGCATTTGTTGCAAGGAAATAGATCGTGCGGGGGAAGTGATGGAAAATATAGAACGGGCAGGTGATTGTATCACTTTGCATCCCGGGTTTCAGGATGTTTGCCTAAACCGATGGGTTCTTGAAGTGGCATCACTTAACCTGAAGACCAAAGCTGGAAAAAGTTACCGGGCTATTTTCAATCAAGGTCGTAAAACGGAATCAGAGTGAGTTAATCATTCCATGATTTTTTTTTCTGTTGTTCTTATTGTTCACCTGGGTGTCTCATAAGTGAAAGTGAGCAATTTACTTATTACTTTTGTAAAATAATAAGGTTAAGTTATACTCAAAGCCCCGTTTATCAACAAATAAACGCTTACAGTTATATTTCATTATTATTTCTACTACAGTTTATTGCATCCCAGTCTATTTATTATACAGAATGCTCAAAAACTTCTATTGTCAGCCAAAAACTCATATTATTGTATTTTAATCGAAGAAAAACCATGCATGATGAAATAACAGCCTAAACAAATAAGCTGCCACAAGTGACAAAAAACTCCACCAGTCCAGCGTATGAAACTGTACATAACTTTCTCATTATTTTTTTATAGGTTTCTTCCATCAGTGTCGTACAGACAATTTACTCGACTTCTTTGGGAGTTTACGGGAAGTTCCAAGCGTCATCCACTGCCATGTTGTGCTTACAAAGTAATAAGGACAGCCTTTCTGAGTGAAGATGGCCAGTATCATGGCTTTGAAGATGACGAATCATAGATAGTGTTCATTATCATTATTCTGTATATTTTGTTTTCATACATTATGTGAACCATCCTTTCAAGACTTGTGATTTGCAAAGTGATTAATATGAGCAGTACAGAGCCTGTTATATTTTAGCTTCCTTTTCTCCAAAAATGAAAATAATAACAATGATGTGTACCATGAATATTTAGGTCATTTATCTCAGAACAGTACAGTGTCATCAAAAATAAATGATTATCAGGTTTTTCTTTGTAACTTCAGTAGCATTTAATCATTTTGTGAAGCAGTGCATGTGTGTCCTCTTCTTGGCTGTCCACATTTTCTGCATAGCTGTGCTCTCCATCTTCTTCTGCTTGTATTTGTTCTTGACATTGGTCTTGACTGGTCACTTTCCTCTAACAAGGTTTGCAGTTCAGCTTCTGTAGATAATCAGGTGAAAGTCAAGTAAACTTACAACTGAAAGAAAACAATTCTTTTTCATACAGATTACTATAAAAAATATTGCTTCTGAAAACCTGTTTCCCAGCTTCAAATTCAGTAGAATGTTTGAGTGTTTGGATGAAAATGTTGATGAAAAACCTAGAGTGGGTATTGCATTGCCAAGACATTTTACCTGAACATGTTGGAGGACAAATCACTGTTTCCTTGTTTTTTCTTTCATTGTGTTTCCGTATTGCATCATCTTTGGATTGCTTCTCAAGCATTGAGTGCATAGGGTCTGGAACCACCTGTTTTAGCTCTTCTTCTATCAGTTGGAGGTTCCGTCGTGGACTTGTTATTAGAGATTCATAAATCTCCGCCACATACTCTAAGGAGAAAGGCAGTTACAAAAGTTCTTCACGGAAGTACTTTGCATAATGACTTCACAAGCTAAAGTAAGTTCACGTTTTGACTAACTGTGATTATTAGAATCTACATTTTACTCTCTCTAGAAAGGAACTGTGGATTACAAGACATCATAAGTAGTAGCTTATTAGCATAGCTAAATTAAATTGCTGAATATTTTCTGACAGCAGCTAACCTGTCTGCAGACATGATAATACCAGGAAACCTGTTGATGCACACCTGTACATGTAGATATTTGATTTTGAGAATAGACATCATTTTAAAGTTGTCCAACTTGGAAACTTACAGGTACTTTGCTACAATGGTCCTTATCAAAGACTTACCATAATTAGGAGCTACCCTGACTTCCCTGACTGTTGCTTCTCCTTCCTTGTACTTTGGGTATGAGATGTGAAGGCGTGGTTGGCCCTGGTCATCCACCTTTGTCTCTCTTCTGAGGTTGTAATTAAAATGAAGGGCAGCCAGTACTGATCTTAAAAAAAAGAAAAGGAAGAGAGAAAGGTACAAAGTAATCAGAATGTATTAAATTATGTGACAAGTTCTACCAGTTTTGCAAACTGCCTATATCTATCAAAAAAGGCATCCCAGCATCCCAGTGCCTTTCCTCATACTTTTTGAATTTTGTTTGCTTTTTCAAGATTAACTTTAGTGTTGCTATGTTTAAATACATAAGCCTTCAATTTCACGTACCTACAAAGCATTCCCAGGTATGAGTAGGCCAGCATCTTTGGGGCAAATTGGTTGACTACTGAATGATACCCTTCCAGGCAGCTTGTTTGCTCAACTGAGGAAGCTTTTTCTATTCCTTTAGTAAGGCTGCTTTTCGTAAGGGCGGTATACAGCTTTTCATATGCCTCTGACACTAGTATGAATGAAAGCAATACAGTGGAAATGTTTCTCATATTGTGGTTTTTAGATGAAATTTATAAATCAGGTGGTCACTAGTTGTAAATTTTTTTTTTATTATTTAGTGTAAAAAAGAAAAAGGACAGTGATATTTCATATTTTTCATTTTTTTTTCAATTGTTGACAGTTTCTAGTTGCATTTGAGCAGATGGGGCTGAAATTCTTGAACATGACCGAAAATAGCTCAACCAAGCTTTGCAATGTTACAGTTATGTAGTCCTATATCCAAGACATTTGGTCAACATAATAAGATCAACATAGAGTGCGGCAGCAAGTGAGGCTTTTGTACCTTTAGACATCCATACTTTTGGTGTGATGACTTCACCGTGAGCACAAGCATTGAAGAGCCTATTAGGAAGGTTCTTGTGTTTGTTGATGACATGACTGAGGAATGCTTGGAACTTTGCAACCTTGACCTTTCCAAGACTTTCTTGAGTGGAGGTCACTGCCCAGTAAAAATGTCTAACACAGGCCTTCCTCCAGCGGCCAATGATCTCACAATTTTTTTCCTTGCTCAGTTTTGTTAGAACTTTTTGGATTTCTGTGAAAATAGCAAAACAATTCAACATTAAGTGCTTTTCTACAATATACATGTACAATAAATTTGATCAAGGCACAGAGAAGCAGAGACATTGTCTCCTCTGATAATAAGAGTACTATTTCACTACAGATTCTAGGTCATAGGTTTTTTACACTGTGCCCTAGGGCAAGGTACGACAATAACTATAATAAAAAGAAGTAATGGTAATATTGATATATGTATATGATTACATACGATGAAAACATATTAGGTTACTTATTGTTTTTGCATACTTTTCCCAATGTGCCAAAGATCAAAAAAATGATTGATAACTGGCTTGCCAAGTTCAGCACACTTCTTGCCACATTCTTCTCTCATCCACTTAGCAATGGAAGCATGGCAGTCAGAGATAAATGACTTGACAATCATGCCTGTGGCTAGAATATATGTCATGGCTTCCTTGAAGGCCATAAACTCGATACCAGAACTGCTTCCTGCCTGATTAGCCTAGAAAATACAAGACAGACGGATGTTTTGTTATAAATGTGATTTTTTTTCCAGTTCAAGCATTCAGATTTTGTCTTTTGACCACATTTCTTTAACATGGCCTTGCTTTTCTGATTCTGCAGTTCATAGATATTTATAATAATTATTGAAATTAAATTTACCCTTGCTTTGGGTTTGGTGTTACTACATGACTGTATGATTTTTATGAGGTTTTTTTCACTTGCCTGTAATAAAACAATATGAATAATAAGGCCAACAGTACAACAAAATATAGTATAAGTGCCATATTTTGCTGAGTGGCCCATGCTGTCGTGGCGTCCATCTCCTGCTAAAACTACTTCTTTTCCTTTCAGGGAATCCAGCAGTTTTGTTTGGTATTTACGCCAGAATGAGATGATAGTGGGAATGAGGAGATGCCGCTGATGGTAGTAGTAGGTGGGCTCATTGTAGACAAGTACTTCCATGTGCCGAAACACTGTCAACATTTTCTTTATTGATGCTCCAGCACAAAGAGTTGCAAAGCTGAGGAGAAGGTTGCCTGCTGGAAATTTGCCCATAAGGAATGGCTGGCTTTCCCAGGTAAATATCTCTTGACAACTGCTGCATTTGGCTTTAATGGTCAATAGAGTTCCTGTTTGTGTGCAAACAGTTTCTGGGTTGGGAGTAAGACAATAATGGCAGTACTGAAACAGTAGTAATAGCTTGGATAAAAAAACAATGCCTTTAGGCTCCTCACGCTTGTTCTTTCCTGCGTAGTTCAGCCTGTTGTGTGATAAATAATAATAGTAATTTTAGAAATGAGTCAGATATTTCCCATTTTTCATCCAATGTCAAGTCATGGAAGATGCATTTGAAGTCATACAAAGAAATAATCAGTGTATCGTACTCTCTCTTAAAATACTAATACATGTATATCTCCAGGACAACACATTTAATGGTGTTGCTGTGGTGGATGTGCCTTTTTTAGGAAGGGAGAGGGGGGAAGAAAGGCTTTTTCTCCCTTTTTTACTTCGCAAATAATGAGATTTTTATTCAAGACAAGATGGACCACACTTGCATGCGCATGTCTACATTAACTAGTAAGTTATGGTACATCCTATACAGTACCTAGGCTTTGCTGTTTGGCTGTCATTCGCATTATCGTCTCCTAATTCTTGATAGACTTCATCTAATTTTTCAGGCGTCCAGTCAGGATCATCATCATTCTCAGGCTCTTCATTGTCATCATCGTCATCACTAATCTCTGTAAAGTCATCTACACTGTTATTCTGGTCACCAAACACAGTGGAATTAGCATTGTGAGCTTGTGCTGTGTTATCTAGAGAAAAGGAATCAGTATGGCTTAGATTATCTATATTTGTAGCCTATCAACGACAAATAGATTATTTATCTGATGGAATAGTTTCTGTAATTTGTACTAAATTTGAAAAAAAATTGGATGTTGTTTGAAAACCAAGGTTTGACTGCCTTTTTACTAATATACATGGAGTATCCATCAAAGATAAACAGCACAAATGAGAATAACTGCAAAGTCTTGTATAGCCCACAATTTGGAAAACTCCCCCCAACCCAACACAAATTCAGAACACTCACCACAATCTGACTCTAAATGATCTTTAGATGCATTTAAGTGGATCTCCTGCAAAGTCTCCACCCACTGCTTTTGATTGTTTGCGAGCTTGTTAGTCAGTCTGGTGACTTTAAATCGTAATACTTTGATCTCTTTTTTGAGTTCTTTATTCTCTGTAGAGAGGTCTTGACGAGTGCTGCATTCACCTTGATTTTCATGTGCCTATCAATAAGTTGAAAATTCGGCTTTTAATATCTTTACATGTAAAAAACTGTCACTTTAAATGGCTTATGTATTGGCCCCAGTCAACATATTTAGTATACTGTGGTAATCTAAAATTATTACTTTTTTGGCTGTATATGAGTCTACAATGACGTGGCCAAAAGGGCATCAGAGTGAAACATTTGTGGGAGTTCTAAAAAATGTTTTTCTTTTCAATTGCTGTTGCAGTTGCCCGCTGTGTTTTAAAAACCATAACTTCCTTTTGGAGGTTTGTGGGTTTCTTTGTGACTTATTGTGCATGACAGTAAAAATGAAGTACAGCAGTTTGAAGATACTTTGAAGAAAGTCAAAGTGGACTAACATTCAATAAAAAAATAATGTTGCTTGCTTCCTGTTTATGATACTTACAGTTGGGGTTATTGGTGTTGATGCAGCAGCAGGTAGAAATTGTGATGAGACATGGTCCTACAATATTGTTAGAAGAACAAAAGTCAAATTCTCATAACAATAGATGTAATAATTATTATAATGAAGGTAATATGGTACTGTTACACGTTTTCTTTGAAATAAAAGAAATCCCTTACCATCGAGCTTGATGAGCACAGTGAGTTACTTGTATCCATATCTGCATGCACTGAACCTTCTATTGGAGTTGTTTCAGTAGTTTGTTCAACCTAAGAATAAGTATAATTTTTGATAAGAATGTAAGAAGCATGCCATTTTTTAAGCAAAGCAAGTGGAAGTCTGCCCGGAAATACCTGCATTGAGTTTGATGATGAAAGGGGATCGTTTACTGCATACTCCTCAACCTCTTCTTCCATTTCTTCAATTTCATTACTGTCCGGCTCCCTCTCCAGCTTCATAAGAAAAACAAAGAAGCTATATCTAATTTACCTTTTTTTATGAATGGTGGCCAATACCCTCTTCTTTGTATTCAGAGTTAACTTAGCAGAAAAATATAAACAAATTTTAACTCCAACATATAGGCCAGTAGCTCTAATGGATTTATACAAAATAATAACAAACCGACTGCAGTTTATGTGAGAGGCTATAAAGTCACCATTGTGAGATGCCAAAAAAAAAAAAGGCTCGTAGCTGGACATACCTGCACCGCAGATTCCCCACTTGCGGGTAAATCAACCTCTTCATCTTCTTCAAGTTCTTGCGAGGTGACCACGTTGCTAGCTTCGTGCACGGCTAGGATATGTTTCATTGCCTACAAACCAGAATTTAGTTTGCAGTAAAAAAAAAAAAAAAAAGAAGGTGTAAAGATATTGATTGGCAAATCCATAATTTTATTTTTTAACGATCTTACAGTTCAGCATCAATAAATGATCTTGGAGTCTCAAAGAACCAAAAAATATTATTCGTTTTACGAGTTGAAAGCCTGCAGCGAAGGCAACCAAAACACTGTATAAGTGACTTATTCATTTTCGCTCGAACGCGCGAAACACGACAAAACCACTATTGGGCTTTCAGTTCTTGTCATATCTGTTCATTACTCAGTGTGCATGTAGTTTACGCCTGTGTTTTAGAAAAAAACCCTTTTGCCCTTTCTTATGCCGGCTTGAAGCTGAAATACCGCTATCCCAGGAAGTGTACGTGTGAACAAGGATCAAAGGTCTACAATGTCTTATTACTTACCATACGCCGGTCTCTCGCTGACATGGCACTGGAATTGCCCGCTTCACCTAACTTCCAAATCGTTGGAATGGCTCCGGCAAGTGTAACTCTCGGAGCGCCAGGTACATGAACTGCCCGCTCGAAGCAATCGGCAGTGAAATGAACTGAACAAATCTTGAAGAGCCCTTTGGGGTTGAAGTTGGCACGATGTGTTCGGACGAAGGCTTTCCATTTCTGGCTTTCAAAGCTAGTCTTCGGCTTGTGCAAAGAAATGCCTAATTTAGGATTCAACCTGTTGCTACAGTCTTGAACGACGCAGCGACAAGAAGGCATCTTTCCGCGATGAAAATGAGCGAGATCAGAAAGTCCCCTTTTTCTCGTGAAGAGATCTCACTTTGCTAATATTCGCGCTCTAATTTAAAGGATACGATGACGTAACGCTTGACCTCGAACCAATCCCTCCCTTTCGCTCCGCCATTTCTTGTTTCGGTAATGGCGGACGTCCACCGGAGAAAAACATGGCTCAAAAAGTCGGACTTCCAGTTGGAATTACGGTCTCAAATTTGGTATGTGTATTTATTAGCTTTCAAACATTGTAAAAAACGAAAAAAACAAATGATGCTTGATTTGATCACAGTAGCACTTTAATAAATAATACAGTTCTATAAATAAGGCTAGAACCCTGCATGCGCTCTGATTGGTCGAAAACCTATGTTTTATCACAGTATAAAACATAGAAAAAGTGTGTTTTATTGTTTCCACTGGTAAAATCTCTATCATAAAGCAAATAAAGAAACCTAAGCTGTGTATTAGACTGTGAATGAACACACTCCGGACATTTGAGAACACTGCAGAAATGTAGAAAACACTCGCCTTCGGCTTGTGTTTTCTACACTTCCTTTGTGTACTGTTCTCAAATGCCTGTCGTATTTAATTATCACAGTGTAATACATGGCTTAGGCTTCATTTGTTAAATAAATAATAATTTACATTGATTTAATTAAACCTTAGGAGTACTGTCCCAGTGTCACAAGATAGATTGAGCTCTTTGACCTACTTTAAAACGTTACTGTAGTGCTGACTTCTGAAGTCCTTACCTCATCAAAGTATGCTCTAAGAGAGAAACAATATTATGGTCACTGAAAGTCTTAGCCTGGCAAAAGAGTACAGTCTGTAGTTTATTCTTATTTAAATAATTATATGATACATGTAATGCTAAAAGTCAAGTGAATGAGAATGTTTCAGTTTAGGTTCTTACATGTATAAATATCATGTTTTACTAGTAATTGGAGAAAAGTCCAGTGAGCACATCTTGTTGTCTTACGTAACTTATGATTTCCACGGAGCTAGGAAAAGCTGGGACATGTTGATGACATAAACGTACCTTATTAAAAGAAATTGCCACACTTTGTAAGGCAGTATCCAGGGGGTTATAATGTTTATGATTATAATGTTGGTTACAGCTTGAAGTTGATTCTGATGCAGACCTTGCTTGTGACATAAGACAGTTTGTGGTACCTGCATGTGGCAGAGATTCAGCACCTTCATCTGCTGTACTTGGCAACCTGGAAAGCAGTTCCTCTTTTACTGATAATCATCAAAGGGAAAACACTTCTCCTCCTGGACAGCCATTAAACAGTACCATGATCAAGCAACAGCTTGAAGCCATGTTTCCTCAGGCTTCACAGGAAGCTATAATACAAGCTGTTTCCACTTCCCAGAGTGTAGCTGAGGCTATAGACAAGCTATTACTATCTAGTTCTGGATCAGTGAGGGTGAATGGTAAGGATAAGTACAGCTGTAGTTATATTACATCAGAAACCAACCAGTCGGAATGGCATCCAAATGATAAGTACATGTAAAATCCAAAATGACTAAAATCATCATTTAACATATATATGGACACTGAAACCTTTTGTTATTATAATATTATTAACTGAATTAAAGAAATAGCCATTTGTAATTGTACATTCAAAGATGATTATGGTGCTCATTGGCGTCACGCAATCAGTCTGTGGCTTTTTGAACAACCATCCATGGAATCGTGACAGAAAATCGGCGTTACTTTCAATTCTCACCAAATAAGGACAGTAGGATGATCTCATCATTACCCAATGACAGGCCATTTTTCAGCTCTTTTGGTCATACCCCCCCCCCTCGAGATAGTTTTGTCAAGTTAGCTAATTAGTATGCTCGACAGCGTAATGGCGGTCCCGTCGACAGATGCTTCTTTGCTCAAAAATTGGGGCCAAATCTTTCGGAAATGGAAGTAAGGACATTTCAAAGTATAAAGAAAGTTACTTGGGACCAGCTGCTGGCTTCTTAGACTGAAATTAGACAGAAGTAAGCTTTTCCACGTTGTACGTGATGAACGCCACGTTGCGAATAAATTATTGGCTGTTTGCATGTCTCGCTCTGTTGTTTGTTTCGTTCTCTTTTGCAGCCTGCTGAGGTCAGTTTTTCGTCTAAATCACCCAAGAAAAGTTCGAAAATTATGTTCCCATTCAATTTTCAGCTGTCAGGAAAAAATTCTTGATTTTTTTGGACCGAAAAGTCGCGTATGTTATGTTCGTGTGATTCAGTTGCTATGGGCGACCGTCGCTTCCTTTGTTGCGTAAAGCGATGAATCGAGGTCACAAGAAAAAATTCTAATTAATTCTGGTTTTGTCCGATTTCGCTGAAACTTTAACATGATGAAGCTGGATTGTTAAAGAATAGATTTTACTACTGCCAATGTGTGGTAGCTATTTACGTGTAAGTGAAAAAACGCTTCAAAGTCAGGGTTTCAAAGAGATTATTTTGCAAGGTGTAGGTTTAGCGTGATTTTGTAATTAGAGATTTTTTGACCCTGAAGGAAAAAATATCCAGAAAAGGTCACCTCATCGACGATTCAAATAAATATAGGTTTATGTATGTTCCTCGCACAATTTCTAGTAAAAAAAAAATTTTTGATGTGCGCTAAGGTTTTAATATTTTTCGCGCAAAAACGCTCTACGTCAAGGAGTTATGGTGAAAGCCGAAAATCTGAGAGGTTTCACGTGTGTTTCGTGAACGCCCACTTACTTTATTCCATAATTTATTTTGCTAAGTTACACAATGTATACATAAGACCACATTTATTGATTTCTAGATCATCAAGCAAACGGTGCAGAAAATTCTTCACTCATCAGTACAGTACCAGGTAGGAATAAATTATTCACTTTAGCTTACTTTCATTTAACAACTTGCATATATATTTGAAAGTAATTCAATCAAAATAACTTTAGAAATTAAGGAGACACTGTGGCAGTTTCATCAGATGATCAGCATGAAAGGCATTCAAGTTTCAAATCCTGGAAGCATTAGTTACCAAAGCCAAAAAAATTGAATTGAATGTTCTCATAACTATTGATATTGTCCAGCTTAACTGCAGTAATTGCCATTTGCTGAAATTAAGAAAAGGAAGAAATGCTTATTTCTACTTTTCTCCAATGCAGCAGCCAGCGAGACCTTCAGCATTGCAGAAAGTTACCCACTCAGTATGCCAAATCTGGACCCGTATGATGCATCAAAGGTGCATAAATCTAAAGTTGTCATTCCATGTAACCAAGACATCTCAATTGACCGCCAATCTGGTATTGTACTGAGAGACCTGTTCAAAAAGCTGAAGCGAGGGGTGTTGGATACCAGAAAGGTTCCAGACATAACATTTGTTGGTGAAGAGGGGATTGATGCAGATGGGCTAACAAAAGAATTCTTCACCCTCATCATGAGTGCGCTGGCCAGTGGCAAGGGGGGCTATATCTTATTTGAAGGAGAAATTGATCACCTGGTTCCCGTTAACAGTGAAGAATTTTATCAAAGTGGATTTTTTAAGTATGCTGGCCAGCTTATTGGCATGTCAGTACTCCACAGTAATGTTGGTCTTCTAGGGCTATCAAGAGCTCTCACAACATACATGGTAACACAAGATCTTGGGTTGGCAAGCTGTCATATGTCAGTGAAAGATATTCCTGATTATTGCACACAACAGGCTGTGACGGAGGTGTGTTCTGTAATGGATCAATATATTTTTGTAATTAAGCTTTACAAGGCATAACTAATCAATGATTAATGGCATCAATGACTAATCAATGATTAATTGAACCCCCCTCCTCCCCCCACAAAAAATGGACCAGTGATTACTATTTGATGTCATTGATTAGTTATATTGTCTAGACTTGAGTATTATAACACTTGTCAATTCCTAGATTAAACTCTTAAGGATAGTGGTGGTTCTGGTGGTGATGTTAGAGTGCAATGAACTGTGGAACCACCTTGACTGTTGTTATGATCTTCAAATGTTTATTCAAAGAACGATTCTTAAAATGGTTACATTTGTATGAACAAAATACAGACCCACTTATCAGAATATATATGTGAAAATATGAAAACTATATGTAAACTGCAAATGAAAATAGTGTGATTTTAGTGATCTTACCAACTTACTTGTACTAAGCAGTTTACCATGCACACAGAATCTTTGAATTTAAATTGCTTTCCCAAGTACACTCTAATAATAAATAGTAATAATATATATATCTTCCATATTGTAATCTTCCGCATTATTGTAACATAAGATAAGTAGTTCTATCTTTTGATGAAACAAAGACTTATTGTTATTGTTATTATTGTTACTGATGAAGTCTAAGGCTAAGCTAAAAAATTCTCTTATGCATTGCCACCTGACCTGCATGACTGTACGTGACAGACAATACTACAAGAATGCAGTACTTGCTTTGCATCCTTCATATATTAAGTAACCATCTTTTTATTGCTAGCTGCATGAAGAGAGTGATCGAGAGAGGCTACAGCAACTCATGGTGCCTGATGATATAGCCATGCTGCTCTATCAGTCCGGCTTTGGGAATGAACACCTCACATTGGACACAAAATGCAAAGCTGTGCAGTATATATTATTCAACCAAGTATTTAAATCACGCCGTGACCAAATTGAAGCTTTGATGGCAGGCTTGAATTCCCTTTGCATATTAGAGCTTCTCCGCACCAATGAATCTTGCAGAGCCTTGGTGTTCCCACTACAGTCTGAGGTCCAAAACTCAGAAAGTGATGTTCTTGGGTTGTTAGATTATGAAGATGACCTGTCAGCACAGGAAGAGCAAGTTAAGCTATGGTTTGAGGAATATATAAAGTTACTCGCAAGAGGTAACTTGAATGACTTTGCTTTACTTTTTATTTTATTCACGAAATTAAACTTTATTGGTCTCTGTTTAAAACAGTGGGGACTGGTGGTTAGAAATTGCAGCTCCCTGTACACCACACTGTCTGATTGATAAATGTATTTCCCTGTTTAGTAGCCCCCCTACCCAGTACCTGCCTTCCCCTCTCTTCCACTCCCCTGGAAAGTAATAAACTAAAAAAAAGCCTTCAGGGGTCATGAATTATTGTTTCAGACCAATTCAGTTCTGCTTAGTTAACCCCAGGTTTTAGTATAGATGCACTAATTGCCACCCAAAAGTGTATAGCTGTTGTAGTTAATTTTTCTCTCCGTGTTATTTTTAGCTTTCTTTTGTTGTTATGAATGGTAATGGCTGTAAAATAAAGGAGGGCTAAAAATTACCCGAGAAAGAAAAATTAACTTCATTATAGCCCCCCACCCCAGACAAAATAACCCCTGGGAAGAGCTGAACATATTTTACATGTATAATCAGATTTTTATTTGGTTCATTTACAGGTGACAACAACCAGGAATCAAACTGCAGTGAAGTTGCAGTCATTCCAAAGTTGAATGACCTCATTCAATTTATCTGTGGACACCCCCATGTTCCAAAAGGCGGTGACTTAATTCAAGTCAGATTTACAAGAGCATTTCTACCCGATGCTGAGGCCTGTTTTAATACTATCAAGTTACCTAGGCACCACCAAGACTATCTTAGTTTTAGGAAGGCAATGAATGTTGCTGTAAACTGCCAGAACCAAGGTTATGGTCGTGGCTAAAATTAAAGGACATCCCATGTTTGATTCCTTATCGAAGTATGATTAATATTACAGTTACAGAAAAAAAGGAAATACGGGGATTGATTTCACTCACATAATTATTGTTGTAACTTTTGTACTGATTGACAATGTAATTGTGAAAGTTATGTCAGCCAGTCCATGTATTCATCTTAACACGTTGGGTTAGTGTTAACAATTTCAATCAAGCTGGTATTTCATATAAGTGTCAGCCTGAAAGACCTATTTCAATGTTTTCAACCTCTTGCCTCAGAGTGGCATTTGTTATAAGATGTTCAGTGCACGTACACTAGTTTTCAAGAATAATAACTTCTAAAATGTTTTCTTTTTACATGACTGTATATGCATGTCTATCTTTGACTCCATAAATATTGTTACAGTTGCTGGAAAATACATGTAGTGAACTCTTTATTGATAAGGTGTATGTCCTGGAGGGGGTGGAAGGGGGCCTCCCTTATAATATATTGGTTACACGTACATGGGTGTACATGACTTTGTACAGGGTTTCGTTTTTAACATTTTAGTCTTGAATAGGGTATGATAATAAACAGAGTATCATTTTCCTGGAAGTCAACCTGTGATTTTATTATAGATGTATGTTTCATTTACCTAACACCAGAAACAAAAAGAACTAAAAGTGATCTAACTTGTCTGGAACAGATTATCGGTTTACTTTATTGAATCTGGAATGGGGTTGCAAAATAACCAATTAGTGGTCTTGTACAGGGTAACCAAAATGGTTTTTATGGCACTTCAGTACACCCCACCCCCACCTTCCAGGTAAAGTATTGGTGTTATCAATGTCCTGCATCCTTTTTTTGACATAACTGTAATTGCCTCAGTGAGTACAAGTCGTGTATTACACGCACATCAATTCAAAGGTGAAGGTGAAGATTGAAATGCAAGATGTTCAAAGATACCAAGTCCACTGCATGTAAGGAACATATTAACATATCTCACTCTTAAACAATACTGTCACTCAGCTAATTAAGCAGAGGCATCAATAAAGGAATGGATGATTTTCAAGGCCAGCAGGTAAGAGAAAATTCCATTTTGAGATTCATCTCTAGATTCATTGATTGCATTTTGAACAAGGTGCAATTGGTCTGCACTCGATTGCAAGGCTAAGGGTGGAACACTTATGCGGTATTCCTCTGCCTCGGGAACAGGGCCTTCCTCATCTATGCCATAGTTGGAATAGTCTGTACAAGCACCCAATACATCTTGAACAGCAGTGTAGTTGGATTGCTGTAAAGTGACCATCTGGCTTACCCACAACTGCCGAGGGGAAAAGTTTGTTTCAGTTGTGACAGGATGACTATTCCACTGAGCAGTAAACTCATCAAGGGCCTGGTTAACTAAATCTAGATAAACAAGTTGCAAACAGTACAGATGTACCTCATTGGTTGAGCAGACGAAGCCATTTCTTTCAAGATACAAGAATATATTCAGAAATCTGGAAATTACTATTCGATTGACATCCCTCCATAGTCGTTCGATTCTCTGGTTATGGACTGAAGTACCAGTGATAATGCTCCCACAATTAAGCCCTCTTGTCTCTAGCATGTATCTTGCAACTTCTAAGTTCTCCATCCCTAGGTCACAGCGAACCCGAGAAGGGAGGTTGTACTTTACAACTGTTTCTTGAAAATAGGTTGATACAGTTGTTGCTCTGTTATTGGTTGATGCATGGAGAAAAACAATAAGGCGTGAATAGCCATCTATACCCCCATGAATGACTATGCACAAAGGTTCAATCAATTTATGATTGCCGTCAATGTGCCGCATAAAAAATGTTTGCACAACCAAAGCATTTGTTCATTAACTTTTATTTACCTTTAAAGCGTAGATCAAGTAAACAAATAAATGAAAAATTTTTTCCTTAAACAAACTTCATGGCAGCCAATTAATTACTTTTTCAGCACGTTTTTACATTTTCTTTAAACAAACTTCATGGCAGGCAATTACTTTTTTACGCACAATATGATTTCAAAAATAACCTAATTTATTATTCATGAAAATACACATGGTGTTTTTGGCGCCACAAGGAGAGTATATACTTAACCAAAAAAAAAATTCATTTTTTGTCACTCGCATTTTTTTTGGACGTGACAACAACAAACTGAAAAAAAAACAAGACCTAAAAAACCATGGCGTCTTACATGGACAATGAAGCAATAGTGGATAAAACCTTTGATGAAGAAGCCAGAGACAAACCCCCTGCAAATAAGCAACAAGGAAAGAGAAAAAGAAAGATTCCTCCCAAATCTGCAGAATTTGTGCAAGACAGCCACGTAGAAACCTCTATAGAAGCAATCAAGCCCAACCTGATTGACAAAGCAGAGGCTGCAGCAAACGAGCAATACAATGAACATGCAGATGATGGTGCAGATTTGCAAGATTTCATAGAGCAAGACAAAACACCAAAAAAAATAAAATCTACTCCGACAGCTGAAGAAACAAGAACCACCAGTGGGACGTTACAAGAGATGCCCGCGCATTGATGAAGACGATGATAATGAAGTAAAGCCAAATCAGACTCCCCCAACCAAAAGGAGGAGAATGCTGGAACCAAAAAGTCTGCACATGCCACCCGGCAGCCAACAGGTTATTGATGATGATTACGATGCATTTGCTGTTACCGTTCATCAACCAGCCAACAATTCCGAAAGCCAGAACGAATTTAGAGGAAATGATGAGTTCGACAAAGGAGATGAGCTCATCCCTTGCCCCATCTGCGAACACAATCTGATAGTTTTTCAGACAAAGACTGGGGACGACGGGATAACCTGCAGCAACAGCAACTGTGCAGTGAAAATTCATCTGCAACACAGATATAGGAACTATAATTTGCAACATAGAAAACGACATCCATCTCACCTTCAAAGCACCCAACCTACTGGCACGTTGCAACATACACAACGAGGTAATGAAGATGAGCAATGTGCCAAAAGATTTCCAACCCCAAGAATACATTGGGACTTCATGCTGGAATGTTCCAAGAACGTGAAGGACGGAAAATGTGAAAATGTTCTCTACATGCAGAAAGATCGTTTTAGCAGTGCCCAACAAGGTTTTCAAAACGCTTTCAAACGTACGAAAACAGCCAAGAAAGAGATGCAGCGAAAAACAACGAACCGCATCAGATCGAGTTACAGAGAGGCCCAGATAAAATACCACGCGAGAAACCAACCTCAAGACTATCAACAGCAGTCGCAACAACAATGGGAAATTTTGAAAACTTCCAGCATGAGCCGTATGACTCCCCGTTCCTGAGGACGTACAATTTTTTTTTCTTTTCAGACCATTAAACATTTATTTTTCCTACCTATAGTAGTTTTTGAAAAGATAACAGATGCAGAAGCATGATGCATGATGATTTATGTACATCTAATTAAAGTGTGAGAATAAAAACCTTTGAACATGAACAAAATGTATTCATTTTTCTCTGTGGGGCGGGTAGCGAGTAAGCAGCAAAAGGAAAAAAAATGCGCGCAAGTGCCATTTTTTTTTCTAAAACAAAAATGTATCTTTCTATAACAAATTTGAATGAAATTCCAAAACCTCTTTTAAACAAAACTATGGAGATACATCTACCGAAAGATAGTTGGATAGGAAAGATGTTGGTAGACGAATTGAGAAAAGAGGATGCATATTTAGTGATGGTGGAATATAAAAAAATGAAAGGTGGTAATGATTGCAATTTTTGCAAGAAATTGGCTGTTCCAAACCTCCTGGAATGGGATCTTTTAGAAACACTAAACATGTTAGACTATCTGGAACCTTTCAGAATACAAGATTTGATGAAAGAACCTGGTTTGCGACAATTAGCTGAAACAATTAGAAATTATTGTGCTTTCTTGCTCGTCCAATTGGATAACATGAATAAATGTGGCGACCTACAATGTTTAAGCACAATCAAACCTTCTTATTACTTTCATTCTGTGCAAGAAATGAAAGACGGGATAGAGTCTGTATTAAAATGGTTTAAGGCATTAAGAGAAAAATGTAATTGCCGTCATACATTGTCACGATAGGTTTGGAATAAAGTCTATGAAGATATGAAAGCGGAACATGACAAGTGTCAAAATCACATGCACAATGAAGAAGAATGGAGAAAACATATGCACATATTGGATGCACTGAAAAGCTTCCATTGTACTTCTGACAGTGATGGTGAGTAGAATTTAGAAGAACCATGGATACCTTTGAAATCGATGTACAATTTTACTGTCAAATTGAAAAGTTCATAGAACAATTACAGAATGGAACAGAACATGAAGAAAACATTTTTTTATTTGGAACATGTTATTTTCAAAAAGAACAATTTTACACCGAAAAAGGCGACATAAACATTGCAACCATGGTGGAATTGGAAACCTACATCTCCAGGGCAAATGAATATTCGTTGAAATACGATTTAGAAGACTACATAGCTTTTTTTAAAACTTGCAGCGATTTAACAGTATCCATCGCTTTAGAAAACGATCACAGCATTTTTAAGTACTTTGTGGTTCAATCCATGAAAAGGCTACTGATGAAACTAAACCCTAAACAATTAGTAACGGATGGTAAACATAATTTACTGCGACTCAACAACATTCAAGAGTTGTTGACACAGCTGCAATCAATAGCAGGTAAAACGTACACAAAGAACATGTTTTTACTGAGTGTAAATTATAACTTATATAAGTACTATTCTCTCGCATTTTTCTTTCACGTTGTGTTGAGTTAACAACAAAAAAAATCTCTTTTTTCAATCGTGGCTCTTTGGTTGACTGCCGATGCTTACAAGCAAAGACTAGATGCTTGCAAACCCTTGCAACACACAAACACAAATGTGGCTGCTTTCACCAGAATGCTAAACGAATCACAATTCATCACAAGACTACTAGCCAGAGATAATCAAAACAACAGCCCAGACAAATTCATCCTCCTCCAAACAGACTACATGGAAAAGGAATCAGGATCTATGCAGCTGGTAAAAGATGGCTGGTTCTATTTCGCCCTAGCTGACAGCATGAAAAGCGATATCATTTTGGAATACCGAGAATTCCCTTCTACAGCATTGAACGAGCCGTACACATTCATGGGGAAACTCCTATGCCAATACAGACCTGTCATCAAATTCCATCCCGAGAAGAAAAAATCCTTGTTGATTTTAAACCTGGTGAAAACAACACTCAACCAATTCTTGTGGGATAACCTGACAGTGTTTCAACAAGGCAATTTGCAAAAAGCACTTGTACACGAGATCATCTCACGAAACCAGGGTACCTTTTTCCCAACACATCTATCCGAAAGAGTAGAACAAACAAAGAACCAGAGGGGTAAAAATATGTACAGCACCAGCCAATATCAATACAGTCAGAACCTAGAAAAAGAAGTTACAAATGACAAGATAGCAAAGATCATCAAACAAATCCTCTTCATAACGAATCAGAAGCTATGGGAATCTCAATTCACATTTGATGAAATACGCCCAGACAGAGATTCTCTATACAGCATCGTGGAACTGCTGGACGAAAAGTATTTCACCCTAGACGTTCAAGAAAAAACATTTGGATCACCTACAAACATGTCGATAAACTGGCAAACTTCATGATGCACGACATTGCACGACCGATGAAAGACCCCTTACAGCACAGACGACTGTTACCGATGAAGAATTTCTTCGGGATGGTGGGTTTGAAATGCCAAACCTGTCACACCATCCACATCTTTAATCATGACGAAGCTTACACAAAATCTTTCACAGATGATGACATTGTCGAGATGAGATCACCGCACACGAAACAAATGAGTTTATTTGCTCGCAAATAAAAAAATTTATGTCACCTACACAATAATATGTAGTTATGTACACAGTTTAAAGTAGGGTCAAGGTGGTTGATTTTGTGACCTGATAATGTTCGTCGACATGTACAGGTGATTCTCTTGACCTTTGCTACTTACTATATAATAGGCAAAAGGTACAGTCATGTAAAGTAACGATCACAAGATAATCAGGAGATCTCAGGGACCACTTATATCCCTGGAACATGTTCAGTAAAATTACTATAGTCCTCGTTCCGTACATTTACTCAACATGTGCAGTAATTTTACTCTCCACGTTTTCAGTAAAATTACACAATCGTATGATCGTCTTTCTCGAGGAGTTATAAGGTGAACAACTTCAATTCCACTCACAATTTGCAAGCTCAATCTTCGGACGTTCAAGAAATCAAGCCTACGGCAAAGTTAAGTACTTTCCTTTTACTTCTGTCCCCCTCCCCTTTTTCTATGCCATGGAACAAAATGTTAAAGTTTTGATAATGGGACATTCCTTCGTGAAACGTTTTCATTATTTCCTAAAGCAGCGCCGTGACAAACGGACACTAGCTAATTTGAATTTGTCATCTATAGAAATCTGTTTTTCTGGGATTGGGGGAAGAACTGTCGCTAAACTTCGTTCCTTTGATTTAGGGCGCGTCAGAGCCTTTCAGCCTCATGTAGTTATTTTAGAGATAGGTTCTAATGACCTTTGTGAGGCCGGGAAACGCCCAGAAACTATTGGCTCAAACATCGAGGACTTTGTCCGCATGTTACACGGTCAGTTTAATGTGAAGTTTGTGGTAGTTTGCCAAATTCTTAATAGAGCGACAGCCCCTTCGCAACATCCCGACTTCAATTTGGGTGTTCAGGTCTTGAACAATTACCTTAAAGTTGTCTTGGAGCCCCTGTCTTACGCCGAGTTTTGGAACCACAAAGGCCTCCGAAGACCAAGCATCCCCATGTTACTGCGGGATGGCGTTCATTTAAACGACCGGGGCAATTATGCTTTATATCGTAGTTACAGAGGGGCGATTTTGTTTGCATTAAAGAAACTGTTTTCCCCAGCTCAGAGGGCCTGACTGGTTCGAACACGTCAGATCGCACAGGCATTCACCTTTCTTTGTTTTTGTATACTATTTTGAGTTTATATTGATATGTTTTAAGGTATATATACCTTATCTCCGGCATTTTTAGCATGTTCATTGCGGCATCTCATTTTACTGGGTTTGCCAAACATGTTGCCGATTTGTTGTTTGCCTGATTAACCACATTTATCTCTGTTTAAGTGAATGACCTGGCGATCAACTTTCTTGGTCCGCTATCCCATTCCACCCTCTTTGCCTATGTTCGCTAGCTCCCTTATTTCGCATTTGTAACATTCGTTTATCCGGGCCAGTTTCTTAGTCGTTCGAAAGGTTTTGTCTGTTACTTTTAGTGCACTACTCGGTTCCGCCAGAATGATGACACGTGGAAAACAACGCCTGAGTAAAGGAACAAGCGCTACACAAGGCAAAGCCACCAGCGTTGGTGCTAAAAGGAAAAGGCCTAGTTCCACCCATTCTGTCCGTTCTGTGGTACGCAAGCGTTCACGACGAGTCCCTCCAAACAACGGCCCTGTCCAAACACCCCATCTTGCAGACGCTACGCATCCAGCTGAACTCGAAAGGCAGCCCCTCCCGGGTAATTCCACCACTGCAGTGGATCGTCAAGAACTAACGACCTCATTGAACCCGTCGTCGGTCTCCATTCCGGATCTGACAAAGGCAGTGTCAGCCGCTGTGATAAAAAGTTTATCTGAGGCAGGCGTTATCCCGTCAGCCAACACTGTCCCAACCACAGAGCAGAATGCTGATTCAGCTGCTACTTTACAGGAGTCAGTGGCAGCTGTTGTTCAGGATTTAACTGGTGAGGGCCATAATTTTCAATCAAATAATGATTCTGTAATTTCGGGCAGTGTCGGCCTGGTACTATTCACAAGTTGATTTCCGTTCCCTTAGCAAGTAGGGTATCCGAAAAACTGCAATCTAAAATCTGGGCAAACGATTATGTCGATTTAGGTAGCCTTTTTGCAACATTGCCCGGGGACCCCAAATACAATTTTACAATAAAAAATTACCTGGGTCCTCAACGCCAACTGTTAGCCTCGAGCCTGTGCAAAACACAAAGCGCATACCTACAATCAATCAGTGGACCTCTGCTTTTCAAATTTTTGTTGCTATTTACACAGTGCGATTTCCAGAAACGGCACCGGCCTTGATGAAGTATAGTGCGACGGTGCGTGATTTAGCGGCTAAAAATGCGCATTGGCACTATTACGATGAGAATTTCCGCTATTTACAGCAAAAATCCCTTTTTCCCTGGGATGAAATACACTGGGAATTGTGGTTGCAGGCGCACCACATGACACGTAGTTCATTTCCAGCTTCTCCAGGAAACAACGCTAATAAACAATCGTCTCAGCCCTTTCCAAAAGGCTTTTGCTGGAAATTTCATCAAGGCGAAAAATGTTTTGGCTGTAACTTCAAACATGAATGTTTCAAATGTGGGGCAACCCATCCGGCTTTTCGATGTCGTGGGACCAAACCCTCCGCCGCTACATCACGCCCCGCCTCGGCACATGCCGCTAGCAACACCAATCAAAATAAGTAAATTAGAGTTTTATTTAGACGGTTATCCACCGGCGTCGAAGCGCTATCTACTAGATGGTTTCTTAAGAGGGTTTTCTCTTGATTACGTCGGATATCACGAGACGTCCTTCTGCAATAATTTGCTGTCAGCAATTCAAAATCCTTCAGCTGTCAATGAAAAACTTTCCAAGGAATTAAAATTAGGTAGAATAGCTGGACCTTCTTCTAAAAAGCCTTTTTCTTCATTGCGTTTATCGCCGTTAGGTTTAATTCCTAAGAAAGCGCCAGGGTAATTTCGCTTAATTCATCACTTATCTTTTCCTTATGGCACATCCGTCAATTCTCATATTCCCACGGAAGCATCTTCAGTTTGCTACGCATCAATCGACGATGCTATTAGGATTATTAGGGGCTGTGCGCTTGCAAAGACAGATGTCAAAAATGCTTTTCGATTGATCCCAGTTAACCCAAATGATTACGACTTGCTTGGTATTTTTTGGCAAGATCACTTTTATTATGATAAGAGCTTGCCCATGGGCTGTTCCAGCTCCTGTAAGATTTTTGTGGCATTTAGCTCCGCGTTAGAATGGATTGCACGTTACAAATTGTCAACTCCGGGTATTTTACATATCTTAGACGATTTTCTCATCATTGAGCGTGATACAGTTACATGTTCGACAAAACTTTTATTGTTTTTAAAAACCTGTGACGATTTAGGGGTTCCCATGGCGCCTGAAAAGACCATTGGTCCAAGTACAGTTCTTTCTTTTGCGGGTATCGAACTTGATACTTTCAAATTGGAAGCGAGGCTTCCTCAGGATAAGATAGACAAATGTACTAACATGATACAAGATTTCCTAAAGCGCAAGAAAGTCACTCTAAAAGACATGCAATCTCTAATAGGGTTGTTAAATTTTACCTGCTCAGTAGTTGTGCCTGGAAGAACATTTCTCCGACGAATGATTAACCTCACAGTAGGCGTCAGGCGACCAATGCATATGATTCGCTTAACGAGCGCAGTAAAATGCGATCTTCACTTGTGGTTGCAATTCCTTACACAGTTCAATGGCAAATCGTTCTTTTTAGACTTTGTTTGGCTTTCATCCGATATGATTCACCTATACACTGATGCTTCAGGCTCATTAGGCTATGGCGCGGTTTTTGGTAGGAACTGGTTATATGGCGCTTGGCCCAAGCGTTAGAGCTCGCTTAATATAGTCATACTTGAAATGTTTCCGATTGTAATTAGTGTTGAAATATGGGCTAATAGGCTGGCCAAAAAGTGTGTCACATTCCATACAGATAACCAAGCGCTTGTGGAGGTTATCAATAAAAAAACCACAAAAGATAAAAAACTGTTGGTTTTAGTCCGCTCCTTGGTTTTGTCATGTTTGAAGCATAACATACTTTTTAAGGCAGTTCATCTGCCCAGCCTTTGTAACACAAGCGCTGACGCATTATCGCGTTTACAGGTAGACAAATTCAAGTCCCTCGACCAGTATGCAGCAGCCGAACCGACAATTGTTCCTCCACATCTGCTACCAGAAAACTGGCCGATATAACTAAAACACTTTTAGAGGCTAGCATCAGCAGCGCTTCAGTTAAAGCTTACAAAAGGCCCTGGGCGCTATTTACATCTTGGGCCCAGCAATTTTTAGGTGACATGCTTATTACGCTACCCATTCAACCAGCGATTTTAGCTTTCTTTATTGCTCATTTGTACTCTTCGAAATACGCAGCGTCGTCCGTTACGACTTATGTTTCTGCCATTAGTTACGTACATCAATTAGCTGCAGTGGATGATCCCACCGAAGCAGCCATTATAAATCAGCTCCTTAAGGGCTATAGGAAGTTAGCTCCCACTAGAGATATTCATTTACCGATTATGTTACCAATCCTAAACAAGCTATTAGGATCGTTTCAACACACAGTCTCATCAGCATATCAAATACATTTGCTCTCAGCTATGTGTGCCATTGCATTTTTTGCATTTCTGCGAATAGGAAAAATAACAACAACTTCCAGTGAGAGCACTAATCTCATTAGAATAACTCAGTTAGATCGCTTAGTGGATAAGAAGGGAAACGTCAAAGCCCTTCAGCTCACTCTTATTAACTACAAACATAGTGACCCGGGACAGAATTTTGTTGTTTACATTTATCCTGAGTCCTTGTGCTGTCCTGACCAGTTGCTTTTGCAATATGTTTCCCTTAGAGGTTATGCACCGGGTCCCCTGTTTTGCTGGCCCGATGGGACGCCTATCACTAGGACATTTTTTGTCACGCAGCTTAAAGCTGCCCTTAAGTTTAACAACCTTGACTGTGCTCTTTACAAAGCTCATAGTTTCCGTATTGGAGCCGCTAGTTGGGCTACCGCTAAAGGTTTTTCAGACTCTCAAATTCGTTTACTAGGTCGCTGGAAATCAAACGCCTTTCTCAAATATATCAGAACGCCTAGTTTAGGTACGAATTTTACTCAACCAAGCATTTAGCTGTTAATAACCCGAAACACAAGCTGGCGCTGTGTTTATCATACCCTAAGTCTGCATTTATAAGTGAACAGCCTGCGGGTGGGGCCGGCCGCTGAAACAGCATTCTGTGGCCTTTTATCGTGGCCCTCACCTTTGCTAGAGCTTAAATAAATTACTTTTAGCTTCTTATTTCTTGGATTTCTTAGTTATGAAAATAAAAGCGGCCATCTGGAATGGCCAGAATTTTAATCCCAACGGTTTGTTGCTATTTTATATGCACTCTAGCAAACTAAGCTTGGCTGTTGACATTAAGTGCACTCGGAGTTGGTATTATTTTACCATATTCGTGAAAGGGGACATAAAAGGGATATTTCGAATGCTCCATGTACGAAAACCAAGGTGGATGATAAAGAGAGAAAGAAAATTGTTTATAAAAACATTTTTCAATAATTTTTTTAATATTTGTCGTTTTATAACAGATGATACTGCTGCTATCGATGCTGACGATAATGATGTAACTGCTTCACAGCAATCACCACCTCCATCACCCCTTTTCCCACAGAATCAAATGCAGGATCAAGACTATCCTGGCAGCCCCGATGAAGCATACGCTCTGGAAACCAAAGATCCCTAAGATGAAGCTGAATGAAGGACATGCTGAAATGGCAGAACAATGCGGTGTAGAACCGGAGACTGAGACGGTCAGTGAAAGCCAAGAAGAAGAGGTAGAACCACCAAAGAAAAAACGTCCATGTATCCTACAAATATGAATATTCTCCAGCCAAGACAAAAACGCTCTTCTCCCAGATAAAAGGTAATGAAATACATTGTAGAAAACTATGTGAGCTCGAAGATTTTTGGATTTAGTTAATGATTTGTTTTAGAACATGAATCATTAAAAACTCCAAACGTCTTTGAGTTTACACAGTTTTCTAAACTTTATTTCGTTTACAGGTGTGGTGCTTTTCCCGCCAAAATGCAAGGACCACATGGATGCAAGTTAAAGAACATATATATATTCAAAAATGGGATATGACATGCTCTTATTTTCATGAAGTGTTTTTTTTTTTCATCTACAATTTTTTTCTATTTTCTACAAAAAAATCATATCCCGTGCGATACAGTGTTTATGTACAATATGATGATTTTTATGCGACTTTTGTGAACGGGAAAAAAAACATTTACATGTGAATATTGCAACATACAGTGATGTGCACAACAAACATTTGTTTTTCTTTTTCAATTTTTTCTATTTTCTACCAAAAAATCATATGACATGACATACAGTGTTATGTACAATGTGATAATGTTTATTCAACTTTCGTGAACAGAAAAAATTTACATGTGAATATTGTGACATACAGTGATGTGTACAATAAACATTTGTTTTACATGTTCAAACACGTTTTAACACATTATCTGCTTTGGTATGGGCCCCCTGTTGTTGTAATTCAAAGATTCTTTCTACTTCTGCAGCATCGATGTACCCTTCCTTGTACTTTTTCTCTGTTGGGAAAGACCCTTCACAAATTTTACAATGGATGTAAAAAAAACTCGTTGTGGGTCATTTTCTTATTTTTCAGATAGACCAAAAACTCTTCCGTACTTTCTACAGACTCAAAATTAAAACGATTAGCCGCTTCTTTATCGGCCATGAGCCAGACATATGTGGAACTGCATTTCAGTTCAGTGAAAATCAAACAGCTACACCGGTTTGGAAGGTTTTATCTTTTACGCGTCTCAATGTCGAAAAGAAGCCCTAAACAAATGCAGCTGTATCTAATTGTTGGAATTGCCTTCGGCTTTGGATTTCCAGATGATCTGGATTTCCACATTTCCGGATTTCCGCATTTCTGGTTTTCCATATTTCTGGGTTTCAATATTTCTGGTGTACGTGTAAACGTGCATTTGATCTTGCAGAGCTGGTTAAATAGAAGATTTATTCGAGGCTGTAGCTCTGAAATCTCAATTTTCTGATCCAAAATAAGACCTGCCTAGTTGATTTTCTGATTCTCGAGCAAACTTTCACATCTGAACGGTTGTTTTACCAAGCTATTTAGCTCGAAACGTGACACAGTTTCACCTGTTTTGAGCTTCGGATTGTTAGCATGGGATTAAAAAATGGCCGCATACCAGCAGTTTCTAACGCACGTTTACTGGAATTTTATGGAGTCCGGCATCTCAATGATTGGAACATGGGTCAATTTCTGAGACAGTTGTAGTAATGAATTAGGTAAGCCGTAATCTGCTTGAGATAGATCCATTACGCTAAATCTGAAAATATCGTATTAGCTTGCATATGCATTGATACAAACTGTCATAACTTTTAAAATACTGAAATCATACATGGGGTTTTGTATATTGTTAATAACAGATGGTGTGTCTTTGTGTCTATTTAGCCTAGAGCTTTCAACTATGTCCCAAACGTCAGAAATAAGCTTTTAAAACAGGGTTATTTTTGGCCTTTCGCTCCAAGGCAATTAGTTGGGGTCATATTTTACTCGATTTCGTCCTTCCAGCTAAATTTAGCGGATACCTATTACTTTCAGGAAAAACTAGAGTTGTTTACCTATAAATAGGTATAAAATTCATTGGTAGATGGTGCAAATCAAACATTTTACAGCGCCATAAAAATTGCCAAATTTTCAGTTTTTAAGATGTGCAAATGACCATGGCGGGACAAAATACTCGGGGGCCCCCAGAGGGGCCAAAAATTTATGGTGAATCAAAGCAAATCTAGTTTAGTTATAGTCTCGATAAAGCCTTTCACTTGCCAGAGTTTCAGGCAAAATTATTTTTCACGCGAAATTGAGTGGGCAGTTTTTACTGAGACAGCCTCTTAATTACCCAACTTCATGAGAAACTGTTAGAAGTCAATTGCATAACAAAAGCCTTGATCGAATGGAAACAAAAGCGGATGTACATATTTACAATATCAAAACACCCTATGACAGGTCCACTCTTTGAACCTTCGGTCATTCAAACCATCTACGAGCAACTACCCGCAAAAGACAAACCCAAAATAGTAGATGCCAACTGCAAATTTATAATGAACGATCTATCTTTAAATAAATATGTAAAAAATGTACAAAATCCACAAGTGGTTTATCTCAATAAATCAGATAACTTAATCTCAGTCAGATACGCGTGCTTCGTCTTCTGCATGATAACATTCACAAACTAAATTATTTGACAAAAACTTAAAAAACTGTTCTCCCACAGTACTCAAATCGAGCACGGCGAAATCTCCTTGTCCCTCTTTCATATCAGCAAGAACCTATTTGCAGAGACGCATCTTGCCAAGATTCTTGTTTTGTAAAAAGACGGCTTCCATTCTCTTGGCAAAAGAATGACAACAATACATTGCATACAGAAACTCTTCTTTCAAAAACAGAGCAAAATCTGTAGTGGTATGGGCCTTACGCACAAGTGTAAAATACTCGTAATGAAATCTTACAGTTGATCGATAAGTAAAACAATGGTTAAGATAAGCACAATCAACAATGATTGCAGGAATGGTCATTTCCTGAATGCCAACATCCCTTAAAATACCTTTTGTAACAATCCAAGATGTTGAGGCTGGATAAATGAGTAACTTGAAAAATGGATAAAGATCGTACATACTTAAGAGATTCATGAAAAGAAAAATATACTTCTGTTCAGGTTTTTTACGCATAAAACCACCCAAAATAAAATTAGAAAACAAATCGAACATGCAATCCTTATCGAAAATCATCTCTTTCTTGTGATTGAAAGAAAGTCCTAAAAACTTTCTCTCTTCAGAAGTCTTAGCCAACAATGCAATCTCTTTCAACCGGTCATAATCTTCTTGATTCATGTGAGCAGCAATCTGGTGAAATCGATGAGCCATATATCTAAAGAAAGCCTCCCTAATGATTGCATGCCAATCTTAATCAACATCTTCCGAACCCCAATAAAACTCGTCCTTTATACGATTACACACTGCCGCAGCATAATGAAAACAGTACAATACTTGAATTTTTAACGGCTGCAACCTCATCTTTCATTTTGTAAATTTTAACATATTCACTCACTAAAAAAGGATGGGGAAGCATTGGAGCCAACTCCTTTGTATCCCTTACAAAAACATATGGAACACCCCCCTTCAAAGGTTTTTTTCTAAAATAATTAACATCGACAACAAACGCATTGCCACTTTTCAGATGTTCAGCTTTCACATCTACATAAACATTAACACCTTCTCTATCAGAATCTATCTCATTGACATATTGAACCAATTTGTAACTTTCAAAATGTTCCATGATAAATTTACAATCAGTTTTACTCAGGACTGCACGATCCAAATCCACACGTTCCAAGACCTCTTTCACATGATGATACTGATTATATAACGGAACATTGGAGACTTTCCCTGCTGCAACCGCTTCCTTCGCTTTCTCCATCACTGCAACTTTCTCAACAAGTAGCTTCTCCTTCCTCAACTTCTTCTCGTTTGGCATCTTCCTTGAGAACAGGATCTTTAAACAAAAAACCAAACCACACTCCAGATACAGGATCCAAATTGATGAGCTGGGTGGATGTGAACAAATTCACCAGTTTGTAAATGATCTGTTCTGTCAAAACTGCTTTGCCACCTGATGACACATACTGGACTTGCTTGTTTCCTTCTTCATTGAGACCATGCTTTATGATTTCGGCAAAATCTCTCTTTCCACCACTCTCTATATACTCATCTATCAAGCCAGATACCTAGGTCAGACGCTGTTTCAAAGCACTTCTGATCACACATAAATGAGTCAATAAAGATCTGGCACCAAATTGACGATGCGTGATGAATCCCATCTTATCCAATAATTTGCAAACACGAGGACTCTCATGACCCACAACATAAGCTCCTATCAGACAGCGCTTCCACTCTTTTGCTACTTCCACTGTTGGAGTATGACTTTGATTCTTCACCGACATAACTGTTAAAAGAAAAAGAATAGGGTTTACAAACCCCGACGAACGTGTTGTTAACTGACTGTACTTCAAGCACGACTATTCACAAAAAAGCAAAGGCGAACGATGAATAAAAATGAATTTTAAAGTAGTTTACTCTCTCACTCACCAATTGCATCAAAATATGCAAATAATCTCTCTTTGTCACTCTGATTGACTCACGACTGAACCTGAATACTCGCACAATGCATTTGCAGACTGATTTCATCTACAAAATGTCGAATAATGACAGCAAGTTTTTTATCAAAACTTTCGTCTTTGATGGCAGTAACTAATTCATCCGCAGCTAATCTGGAATCTACACGGAATATGAAACACATGGGAAATTCGTCACCACCCAAATCTTCCCCACTGACGATGTCGTCCACAGACTCTACAATCTTCGTCGTATATAGTTTCCTGTACTTTCGAAACTTTCTTGCGAGGAATGAACAATTGTTCCTCTTCCTCATCAGAACTCTCCGTAACAGAACCCGACTTGTATTCTGCCACCAAGATGAAAAATCACACTTACCAGCAGCCACATATTCCACAGAACGCCCGGTCATATTTTTGGATCTCTTTTTCGAAGATTTATCAAAGAGGATACAATACCCTTTTAAGGAGCCGGAAAACTGGAAAAACAGACCCTTACGACATGCAAACTGGAGGGGAACTTCAGGGCGGAAAAACGTTCTGCGCAAGTTGCTGCGCATCCCTTATCGCAGGCTCAAGGCGGGCTTTTCTGTGTGTTGACTGTGTTTGTTTGTTTGGAGTTCTGAGTGAAATGAACGAGGTGCGAACGTTTGCTCCTTGTAAAGCATTTTTATTTGCTTTTTTTTCGGCGCTTGAAAATTACTTTGGATTCAGAACAACCAATGTTAAAGGAAAAACGGATCATTCCGTCAGTCTGAGGTGAAATAAAAGGTTTTGAACATTTCTTAAGAAGCGAGTATTTTTCTGATTGTGCATCCGATCAATTTATGAGTCAGATTTCACCGGGTTCCATTAAAACCCGCCTGTATTCTGCTATTAGTAGTTAGTAGTATTGCAAGCTTACTCAAGATCATGTTTTTGCTGCTCAAGTAATAATAGTCAGAGTTTTTTTCATTTTTCATTACATAGTTTTGTTTTCCAGTGCACTGTGAAAGTTTCTGTTCTTTATAAGAATTACTTTCTGTACGCAAATTGTCCTTTTCACTTGCTGTGAAGTAGAGAACGACAGCTCCCGGCAGTGACCTCAAAACAATTGACTCTTTTCCCGTAAACAATTGCTGCAGCTCGATTTGACTGAGGCGAGCAAAACAAACCCTTCAGTGTAGTAAAATGTTCCCAAAAATCGGTTTCAAAGCAACTATTATTTTTAAACTTGCTCGTCTCGCGCAGATATATAAATTTTGCCTTGTGTCATGACGGGCTTAGGCTACAAAAAAAAGTTCTGACCAGGAGGTCTTCTAATCTCGTACATTACTTGTCACCGCCTGCCGGAAACAATCAATGAAGCCCTTTTTTTCTCTCAGTATCTTGTGTCATTTGTTAGATTTATTGAGGTTGTCGCGACTGTCGCGTGTGAATATTTCGCTAAAGTTTCTGTCGCTTTACTGCATAACGCTGGTTGCATTTGCGAAGCTATGAGCAAAATGGCTAGATTTCTAATTTCTCCTGGCAAGTGTTAAATCTACTTTAATTTAACGGGAAGATGCCGGCAAAACGAATCCGTTTTAACCTACGTCAAGTTCGACCACTACACTGCTAAATGAGAGCGGCAAATTATTTCTGTAGGAAATCCTTACTTGGTTATCGACTTTGGTAAGTTTAGCTTTGTTTAGCCGAGTAATTGATGGTAAGTCGTGATTTTTAATGTTTCGGTTTTTTGTCGATGAAAAATACCGAGAAAAATATCGAGCAGAAATTATTTTTTTCGCACGTGTTCTCTGATGATGTATTTCACATAATTTTTGATAATGTATTACAAAAAGATTCTGTCCAGATTTCTCGATATTTTATCAGTTTCACTCTATCACACGCCGCCCAACAAACGATCGCTAGCCTCTAGCAATTTGGCGCCGGCTTTCCTATTTTGCTTTTGCATTTTGATCACCGTCTCATGAAAGTGCTTTTAATTATTTGTGGCGGGAAATAAGTACCGCGCGCGTTTGTTTGGCGCCCAGATCACTGACACCAGTGGAAGAGACTCCAGACAGGTAAGATAACTTAATAATTATATCAGTAGCAATTGATGTTTAAAATTATAATTCTGGATTATTCTATTGTAGTTCGACACTCGAGAGAGTCAGCTCTTCTCTCAAAAAAATTTCGCAGACAAGTAGCCTCGCTGGGTCATGCAGGGTCCCCTTGTTTCCTGAGCTTTTGTTATCTGCGTTGCATAGTATTAACCTGTAGTATCCTGGGTAGCGTATACCTGAAATCTACAGTTAACTTGCAAAAATGCTCTAATCATTCCTGTAGTATCCTGGGTAGCGTATACCTGAAATCTACAGTTAACTTGCAAAAATGCTCTAATCATTCCTGTAGTATCCTGGGTAGCGTATACCTGAAATCTACAGTTGACTTGCAAAAATGCTCTAATCATTCCTGTAGTATCCTGGGTAGTGTATACCTGAAATCGAGAGTTAACTTGCAAAAACACTCTAATCAATGCTGTAGTATCCCGGCTAATGTATACCTAAAAATACATAACATTGACTTATTTGACTTGTGGAGGTGACAATCTTATTCAACTCTTACTCTTTTTGAATATTCATGGTCAATTAACAGTTTTCTCTCAATCCATCTTATTTTTTTAGCACGCGCTCGAACTTGATTTTGGCACGAGTGTTGTCTTAACAAAGCGGGGTAAAAGAGCAGTATAAGAACATGTATTGCAGTATTTTGTGTTAGTGATCTAGGAACCTCTGAATTTGGCGATTTTGCGATAATGACATATCGCCAGGACTATTTCATTTGTTTGATATAAAAGCA